GAGTCACTACACGTCTATCCTCTTAAGCCCTGCAGTGAAGTGAGTGTGGCTACATACATCAGACCATCTGCAAATTGTCAGCTCTTGTCCTGCTGTCAGGTTTTCCGAGCCTGATTTAACAACTGACTTGTTTTCATGCTTTTTCCATCAGGATTTCAACCACAGCACTGACATCGTGTTATCCCAAACAAACATTGACCGAGTTCTCTGAATAGTTAAAAATAGTCTTAAATCAAAAGTAAGTGGAAAGCTTTGTAATGTTTAAAAAAATCACAAATTAACCAATAAAATAATTTTGCAAATCACAAAAATTCTTTTTTTTCCAAGAGTTTACTGTGTTGGTGTGTTGTTACTGAGCGAGAGAGTGGGACCACCAGGAATCACTGACAAAGTAAGGGAGGAGGCAAAAATCACAGGGTGGGTGTGCTTTACATGCAAGTGTAACAAATCAACAGAAGAGAAGCATCAGAAAGATAACAGCGGGCTCACAAGTTGAAAGACTAAGGTGTAAGGAAGTAAAACAAAGCTGTCATAGACCAACCGTTAAGCACACTGGGGGGTAATTGTTCTCAGGCTTACTTGATTAGCAAGATAAACAACAACAGGATGTGCAGGTGTTCTTTCAGTAGCAAGGTCATGTGAATGAAACAGCATCATATGTGAGAGCTGTTTCTTCAACCCCCATTGCAGTGTCTCTGCAGGAAAGTGTAACTTTCTTACAAAGCACTGAATTCTTGAGGCTCACATTCCTGATGAACTCTCACTGCTGGTGTTATTACAGATGAACTTATTATAAACTGATGGTGAGTAACTGTCATGGCTACAAAGAAACACTACTGCTCAGTTTTTCACATCTATTTTTGTCCCTTTGAGAGTCACGTAGCAGCTGTCATTTATTTCCATTACCCTGAAAAGAAGGCAGACATTTCTAAGCAGATGTGTTAAATAAAGACATGATCAGAATACTTTATTAGTTCCATTCTAAACTGTTATTGTTAGTTTTTTTAACAGACACTCATATAAAATATAATCATGAAAGTTACTAAATGTAAAGTTTCTGCATAAAAAAAATAAGTCAGACTAAGACTCTCAAAGTGTGACGTTGAATTAAAATTAAGTATTGCAAACTCACCCTCCCTATCCAACGCCAACTCCAACGCTTACCTCCCCCATGATGTGGACATCGGGTCAGCTGGAGGCGCAGCCGAAGATTGCAGCGGTCCCAGATCAGATGTCCACACTGGAACACTTTCCCATGTTGCTTGTCTGTGTTTATTGTGTTATGGTGTGTTGATACTTGTGCATTCCTGTATTATCCTTTTGTGTTGCACATTTCGATGTTTTTTTTGGCCTGACCTGTCTCCCCAATGTGATGTTTGTATTGTATGTACGGTCGGCAAGGTCTGTCATCTCGGTTGTGGGCAAAAGACCTGCAACTGACAAATAAAGGCTATCTCATCTCTCATCATCATCATCATCATCACTTAAAAAAATAATGTGCACTATAGATAAGATATTACAGGTGAATACAGTCCAGGAATCATGAAGAAGAGTAATGAAGTTTGACGGCCACGGGTAGGAATGCTTTACTGTAGCCTTCAGTGATGCATCGTGGCTTAATGAGTCTTTTGCTGAACATGCTCCTGCATCCTGTGTGAAGGATTTCTCTAGTATTGACTGTAACCTGGACAGCATCCTCCTTTCTGAAACATCCGTCAGAAAGTCAAGCTCCACATCAACGACGTTGCTGGCCACATGAATCGGATTATTGAGCAGTGCTGTTATGCACTACCCTCAGTCTGCTGCTGCAGCACACCAATAACATAGAGGATTCGACTGGACACCACAGACTCGTAAAACATCCTGAGCTCAAAAGTCCAGCAGATGTTTTAACTATTCCTTTGAAAAGATAGAAAAGTCACTCTATAAGAGACTTGGTGCTATAATAATAAAAAAAAATCGTTTTATTCAGGGTAGAATATCACCTGAAAACATTTATTTTTTTAACCCTTTCTTAGCTGTTGTCCAAATCTTACGCATTTCTTTCCTTTACCAGAGGACAGGCATCAATGTTTTTAACTTAGTTTAACTGTTTGTAAAGTTGTATGGAGCTAGTTAGCAAAAAGAAAACTGACAATTATTACACTGAAGTTATCAATGACTGATTGTGTATAACATATTATTATGTGGATATTTCTTCTTCTTCTTTCTTCTTATTCATTCGTTTTTACCACAGATTTGTGTGCTTCAACACAGGACGTCCATATGCTTCTATATGCGCAAGCGCAGCTCTGAGACGGAAGCAGGGCGTCCAATGACAGCAGGCTGAGAAGGAAAAAAAAACAGCAAAGATGAAAGAAGTGTTTAAAACTTGTCAAGTGTTTAAAGTAGACATGGCAGGTCTGTTCGAACAGTCAGTTAGTTTATTGTCGCAATGATATGTGTTTCTCCAGATTACTGTAGAAATGTATAAACCTTTAAAGTAAAGGGACTACAGAAAATGGCAACAAACCTGCTTGATTTCACTGCCCTCTATCGGCAGAGAATGAAAGCCCTTTTACCAGCGGTTGGTGCTATAACTGCTACATCCTGAGATCGGCGCCAAACGCACCATTATTTAAGGAGCACCCCCTCCCAAAAAAGAAGGAGAAGAAGCATTAAACAGGCAACAGGCTGAGTGAATGTATGGTCATTTGGTGATAACAATAAAGTAGCAGTATGTATTTAGGTCGTGTCAGTTCGTGCGGTCCAGTAGTGTGCATAATGCTGTCCTTCGTGCTGTCCCGGAGTTTCTGCCAAGGTGTTACGGAGGCGCACCGGAGGTGTTACTCGACCTTTGGGTCGATATGTCGGACTTTTTCAACATCGAGTCCGAAATGCGAAGAAGCATCAGACAACGGTAAAACCGTCGTTGTGTCCTGTCGAAATCCTCTTACAGGAATAAAATAATAATCTTGTAATACTAGTCCAGCATGTCACTTTGAGTCTACAGATATATTTCTTAGTAACTAATATTAATAGTTTGATCTCATAGTATTTTGTGTTAAACTGCTGGAATGCTGTTTTAAATCGTCAATTGCCCTGACTGTGTGTGTCACAGTCTGTGTTTATGGCTACCTATACTCAGCATTTTCACAGCTGAATGGACTGCAGGTGTACACAAGCAGTTTCTCTCAATATTTCAAAGAGAGGATAATAGCTTAGCTGTGGCACTTTGATTTCACCCCCACAGTGTTTACCATCAGCAGGGGTTCAGATAACACGTACTCTAATTAAATCAGGAAATGGTGGTTTCACATAATTTTCAACGAATATAAGCACTATAAGCAACAATAAATTAAAACTCTTTCTTCCTGTTTCCTTTCTTTGTTGCTTTTCAGGTTCAGTGGTGACCTACTCAGAGCTGAAGACCATGCTGGCAAGCCATAACATTCAGCTCTTTGATGTGAGAAATCCTGATGAGTACCAGGCTGGACAAATTCCCCAGGCCATCAACGTCCCACGTAAGCAGGGTTCTGAAACTTGTAGGGACTTGTCTGTTTTCCTACATTTGTAGTTAACATGTGTGTTCTTTGTTGGTATGCATGTCAGTGGACAACCTGGAGGAGTCTCTGCAACTGTCCCCTGAGCTCTTTGAGCAAAGATTTGAAGTGAAGGCTCCCACGAAAGCTGACGACAACATTGTGTTTCACTGCAGAAGTGGCATCAGGAGCACCAGAGCACTGAGCATCGCTCATCAGCTGGGATTTAGCAAGTAAGTAGTAATACATGTGCTTGTTTCTATGCAAAACAAACCTGGAGATTAAGCACACTACTAGTGGAAATTGACTGTGGGAATGCGATGTGCATGTTTCCAGGGTAAATTTATGGAGAGGTGATGTCTAATACTGTATGGCGTCACTGAGAGATTTACAAAGTCTGAAAACATTGGGGCATGGCCAAAAACCTGTGTTGCTAGCTCTGTAGATTATGCTGTGGAGTGTTTTCTCTTTCTCCAGAACCAGTTCTAAGGGTATAGGCTAATGGTACAGAGCGATGGTGGAGAATTGTGGCCATTTACAAGTTAAGTTGGCAAATTGGACAGGGATCAGCAACAAAATGGGCAGTTAGGTCACAGACGAGCGTCCTGCAGATCAGGTTATGCCGAGTGAAGATCAGATACACTGTGAGGAGATTAGACTGGGTGGCAGGTTTTATACTGCATGCAGTCTCACTGGCTCTGATAGACGGGTTGAAAGAAAATTATTTACTTAGTTTTGTGAATGTGCGATTTCCATACAGATATTTTTCTACTGACAAATCTACATGAAGTCTCATTTGGCCTATAAGGAAAAAAATGTATGTGCATATAAAAACAAAAAAACTCAGACATTAATCATCAATCAGTTGAGATAATTAGTTATTTTTACAGCACTTCTGCTACATTTAGATGTCTCCCAAGAAGTCAATCCATGAGATATAAATAGTGCATTCCTGCTGCAGCTGGAGAAGTGTCCTCAGGTGATACTTTGACTTGCTGAACTGTGGGCGACCTTTTAATATAAAGCAAACAACAGTGTTAAGAGATTAAGCTCCTCTATCTGTGCTTTTGTTTTTGTTTTTCCCCCCTCAGGGCAAGACATTTTAAAAGAGGCTATTCAGAGTGGGTCGAGCGAGAAGGAAAGTGAATCGGGTGAAATCTGCACTGAAGTTCTTCAAAGTACTGTTCCTTTTATTCAATGCACTGTGACTGGGATATATTTCTTATTTTGTTCAAGAGTACTGTCAAAAGAAGTTTTTAACAGTTTTGCTGTAACTTTACTAAAAATATTACAAGTGCCCTTTTTATCCTGCTTCAAGATATGACATGAATTGGCAGCTGATGAATGTGAAGGTTCTTTAAATAAAAGCTATAAAAAATTAAACATTTGTGTTAAAATCTTTTTTTTTCTTTGTCATTATAAATATCTAATTAGTATTAAAAAAAACAACCCACCTGTCCATTTTATATTCAAGTTTTTGGTTGTTTTGGTTTTCTTTTTTCTTTTTACCACTTTGATGTTTCAATGAAAATGCTAAACAAAGGGGGGGGGGAAGGAAAGCACAGAAGTAAAAAATACAGGAGACAAGCTCATTAAAATGTTCATTTAAATAAGTGGTGAGAAAAATTTACTTCCATTGGCCCGAAACGTTATTTTAATGAGCATGTGGCTGTTTCGCCCGCACTTTGAGCTTATAATAATGGATTGCATTTATATAGCGCTTTTCTAGGCCACCAAAGCACTTTACAATTCCACTATTATTATTATTATAGGTTTTTTGTTGTCGTCAGCAACAGCTGAAGACTGCACTGGGTGTCACTCCTCTGAGCTAAGGACATTTGCGTAATAAAACATTGAGAAAACATTTCTTGGTCTGATTAACCCTTATTTCCTGTTGCAACATTTGGTAGAGTTGGTGTAATGAGATCCCTTCCCAGACGCCTTAACCCCCACGCACATCCTGGGCCATTTGACCTCAGTAAATGACATGAAGGGTGGGGCTAGGTTTCACAATCAATCAATACAACAAGGGAAAACAAATAAAATAAAGCTCTTTAGAATACCTAATAAATAAGCAATCCATAGGCTTTTATTATTATGTTTTACGTAATTATTCAACTGTGTCTATTTCCATTTAACATGTCTCCTAATATGTTCTCCTGAGTTTCATTTTTTTTTGTCCTTTTGCAGTGTGAACATACCCACACATGCACTGAATTATTTCAATTTGGAATAACAGCAGTTCAGCCTGAATGCCAGCAGATAGCAGCAAAATGCCAGCCAACTCTAAGTGCTTATTTCCATTTAATCTTCAACACTGTTCTTTTTATTATTGTACCATGCCCTATAAGGACTGACCTTCACAGTGGTATTAGTCTGCGCTGATATACATCTTGTGAGTAACAGCTCTGTGAGCGGCTGTCAGGAGCTCGAGCTGGCCAAGGTCTGTGCAGCTCTCATTCAAAAGCGGAAACTGATCCCACTTCACTTTTCAGCTTCCGTCCCTTTCTGATCAGAGCTATTTGCATAGTATCCATACAACCGGTGTGTCATGGGTGAAGGGGTTGATGTGGATGTATGGAGGGAATTGAGTGCACACCCTAAATGATGAATTTGGCGGAGATGAACATAAAGAGAGCAAAGCGTGTGTGGATTTAATGGACATTAATGGTTTCGAGTGACTGCACTGCAACATCATCCAAAGACAAAATGTATCCTGTGTTGTGGATGTGGGACATCATAAAATTTCATCAGGTTCCAAACACATGCCACCTACAGCACGTATTAGAAGTATCCAGAGCTCTATATGGCTATATATATATATATATATATATATATGCCAGAAAGCTTCTGCAGACAAGAAGGATGGGTCAGATTTCCAGTGGGCACCAAGGACATTTAGGCACTTTTACATGAGTTAAAACACAAACTGACAGGTGGTTCAGGGTGAAAAATGATCAGTGGGCGATTGTTTGTCAGCGGCTGCAGTTACACAGGACAGGCCATTAACTTCCTGCTGCTCGCTGCTTTTTAAAATGCACTCTACCAAGGCTTTGTAATAAAGTCGACTACATGGCTCTGTTTTGAATTTTTTTTTATTCTGGAAATGTAAACCACGTGGCCTTTGTCTCCAAAACGGCTGTTGTGCTAAACCTCCCTCACAGGACTTTAACTGAATTTTCTCCAGTTTTTTTTTTTCTTCCTTCTTTGCGAGCTGGAATGTGTACATGAATGGGAAAAATGGCACCCTCGTGTTGTTTCTTCCAGATCTCACTTATTTGGTGCGCCCTGTAGGGGCTCGTGCAGTACTGATTCCTCTTATCTTAAAATGTCATGTAGACAGAGAGAGGATGGGGGGACGCATTGGATGAGAGCAGAGAGATATAAGGCAAAAAGCTCCTGGTATTCTTTATCTGCATAGATTTCCTTTTTTCTTTTTTTGGTATTTCTTATGTCGCAGGGTTATAAAGTGGCCCATAAAGATAATGGCGCAATGGTTTACACATGTTTTTAAGCACCCAGGTTGGCCTAATGCCCCACAGGTCTTTCATTTAGTTGTTTTATGAGGCCAGCATCTGGCTATTTTTATTCCAACATCACTTCCAGCAAAGCACGACCCAGACTGCAAGACTGTGTCAGGGTCATACTGATGAGGGAGGGGATTCTAACTCACAACGCAGATATACAAAAACTTCTATCATAGCACTGACACGCAATCATTTTATCCTCAGATTAAAACATGTTCCGCGCCCCCCTCTCGTAATAATTAGCCACGGCGTCACTAAGCACACCTGATGTAGCCACAACAACTCCGGTGTGGCCGCAGAAAGCTCACCGTAGAAAGCCTCATAGCCACCGAGAGCCGGTGGGGGGGAAATGAAGTGAGCGAGCGAGATTGGAGCTTCATCTGTGAGCTCTCAATTTCCACATTCGCCCGTGCGCAATGGCACCGAGCGCTCCCCCGGCTCCTCCCGCTCGCCTCGCAGGGCTGGACGCAACGACCGGGCAACTTTTAACTCAGCACGGATGATGCTTTTCCTCGATGGCATCCGATGAATTCTTCACTGCGAAACACTAACAGGTATGTAAGCGTGTGTGCGTACTTTTTGTTTGGGGTTTTTAAAAGAAAAAGCAGTAATGTATTATTAATTGAAATGTTTTATGTGTTGTCTCTCCAGCTAAATCCTCATCCGCTGCTCGTTTAACAGTTTGATTGCGCATTTACTTGGATAACTGATCATGTGGCACAATCATTTTTGTCCCTAATTGGGCCATTCGTGTGTGTGACTGGACCACAACTGACCTCAACCTTTGCAGAAAGCTGATTTCGACGCACGATAGGGCGCTGCAATTATGGGCTTTAATTGAATTCTGCGATAAATGTTTGACGATCGAGTAATAAGATGAACTTGGCAGGTATTTGTAATAAATTCCAGCTACCAAAATGAATTTATTACGCACAGCTAGACTGGGGGGATCCTTGACAGGGTGTCAGCCAAGTCTGCTGTGACAGCAGCCCACCCCTTAGTCTATGCGCAGTTTACGGTATTATTGGGTTAACATAACTGTCGTTACGAAAAAACATAAAGTTAAACACCGTCACGATCGCCGCCACTGTGCAGGCTTCACTGTGACTTCAGAGCATGTCCGCTGAGTCAGATGCGATGCCACCATGCATGTGCATTGAAGGGTCTGTTAGATGCCTACTTCACAGGCACTTATGAGAGGTCAGACCCCTGGATAGGAGCAGTGAGAGGCCGGAATAAGCGGTTAACATTAAAGCGAGGTCGTAAAAAAAGTGTGCACAGGGCAATCAGGTCCAATTAGCACTTGTTACAAGTATAAACAAACCCTTCAGCAGAGCAATATGCGACCTTGTGCTCCTGTTCAGACTGAACACACACTGTGTGTGTGTGTGTGTGTGTGTGTGTGTGTGTGTGTGTGTGTGTGTGTGTGTGTGTGTGTACACAGATGTGGTTTTCCTCAAATATTTTTTGATTGGCATCCCTGCAACCTGCCACACCTCATTCTGTGATAAATCCACTGCTGCACTCCCCTGAGGAGACTTCAAGGTGATCGGTATTGGTGCCTGGCTTTCCCCTGCTTCTTCAGGTTCTCCTGTGGACAATAATACGATACAGGAGCTATTGAAGAGCTTGGTAGCATTATAGACTGAGAAAATCTTTAAAAGCCTCCTGGGTCTGAGCCAGTTCTAAAAAGGATCTGATTTTCTCTGTGTCTTTCTCCCTGTTTCTGTCACTGAAAGAATGGGGGAAGCTGGATTAGATGGATCAGTATGTTTACCATCTAGACACAGGTGTGAGTATTACCACAGTGGGCTGATATCTGGACTTGGGCCAGATAGGGAGGTTTGATGATAAATGAGAAGAAGGGCTGAGTGCAAGGAGCACGGAGCCAAGCAGACCTCTCAGGGTGGCAGCACAGACTTATTACCCCTCCCTGATGAGCTAACCTTCCAGACACTGCTTAAGGCTTCTCTTCCAGGCCCTAATTAAAGCTACCATCTCTGTTTTATAGCTCCTGTTTTTATCAGTTGTTTTAGATGCCATTTACAGGAACGATCGCAGTGCTTTTGAAAGGCTGACTGGAACAATCATAAATGCATTGCACAGTCGAAGCATACATTGTCTGCTGAGTCTTTATGGAGATGATTGTCTCTATAGGAGCCATGGAGCCGTATCGTGAAGAGGCGTCAATACGCTCCCCCATTTTTTATTCAGCAGGAGAAATGAAACTCTCGTGCCAGCAAAAAGCAGCGATGCTCTGCAAAGAGAGTGTTACTGCTGGGATTTATCTCCTTACGTTTCATTTATCAGTGCATCTGACTTGTGTTGGGAGTCAGCATCTGTTTTCCAGCAGGCCTTTCTATGGGTAAATTCACCTAATGACTAAAGTGTGGGAATCCAAAAGGAAACAGAAGGTTGTGTGTTTATTCCAATACTCTTTTCTTTGGGCAGGTCTGCCAAACATCTCACCTCCCATGTCACTGGGACGTCTCAATGGCGATGTTTAGCAGCTCGGAGCAGCTCTGGAATGAGTCAGAGCGCCTCAGATGGGATGAGAGGAATGAGACCTTGGAGGCACCATGGCAGGATGAAGGGGAGCGCAATTACTATGCCATGCTGTACTCCCTGCTTATCCTAGCCATTGTGTTTGGGAACGTGTTGGTGTGTCTGGCCGTGCTGAGGGAACGTTCCCTCCAGACAACCACCAACTACCTGGTGGTGAGCCTGGCTGTGTCTGACCTGCTCGTGGCCTCTCTGGTCATGCCCTGGGCTGTCTACCTGGAGGTGAGTGTCTGCATTTACATTCTTCAGTATCTCACGCATGTTCTTTTCAATAGCGTTTTAAAAATGTATTGTAATTACATCCATATAGAAGGATTTTCTTTACATATTTTGGAGGTTGAATGGTCATATTTTGCACTGTTTGGCAGAGGTTTCATTCCTGCTGCTAATGTTTAGAGTAGCAGAAGCTGAATCAAACTTTTATCCATGCTGAGGTGGGATCTGACAGAAATGGAAATCATTTGCGTTGGTCTGTTTTTCCCTTTGAATTTTCTTGTGATGCACTACACCACTTCCAGCTCTCCGCTTATTCTTCTCCACCATGCCCGCACTTCAACTCTTTAACCTGAATTCCAGAGAACATCACAGAGTTGCAGGGGGCAAAATGAGACGAGAAGATTTCAGGTCATTTTGTGCCCAGTGTTCTCACTCAGTTGCCCCATAATATTACAACAGGTCTTTGCACTGATGATCTTACCCTGCTGGACAAAATTTTGATGCAACGTGTTCTAGCCAGCCTGCAGGGCCTTCCACAGAAATACACTGTTTGGTCTTTGTGATACTCCTCAACATGTGGCCGGGATTGGTTTGAAACAGAAGTTGATATTTGCTTTCAGCGCCAGTTTGAGCTGAAATCTCATGGATGCACATGCAGATACCCACAGGAGGACTTCCAAAGAGCAATTTAATTTTCTTCTTATTAGAAAAGCTTTAGAAGAATCGGACCTTAAAGTAAATTACAGCCAAACAGAAACCAGCTAAAGTGTTAAGGTCAAACGTTTTGCCCCTTCTAATTACACCTTGGTAGTTCATTTTTATTTATCCATGTACATTTTCTAACTATTTCAACCATTCATTTTAAGCAAGTGTTTCACTCAGCTATCACTGTTTCATCATTTCTTTTCACTTGCTAACAAACTAGTTCCCATTCCTATTGGGATTACACCATTTTTAATCCTAATTGCATGTTTGCCTGCTTATGGATGTTTGTTTTTATTAATTGTTGATAATTAGTACCCTGCAATATTCCCACTAACAGCTGCTGAAGTGCCGCCTAACAGGAAATAAATCATGGAGAGCCCTGAAGCAGGGGGGAAGCAAGACATGATTAGAAATATGGAGGCTGTAGACGGGATAAAATACCGTTATTTAGGAGTGAATGAGTTGAGATTATGAAGAGAACAGAGGAAAGTTGTGTGGAAGGCAAAATAAAAAAGCTAAACTCAAAGAGGGAAAGGATGAGGGTCATTTGAGCTTATTACATGGTGACAGCTGTGTGGGTGATCCAAAGACAGTAATGATGATGAAAGTATTTTAGATGGTGATTCAGTATTTATGTAGATTATACATAATTGCTTAAGGATATATTGAATATTAAATAAGGGCGTCATCTGCTCTGTAATTGGCTGAGCCGCAGATGATAAAGAGGCTTCTGCAAACTTGTGAATTTCATTCTTATGCAACCTTCGCAGCAAAAAGCTTTTTATAGTTTCTGTTCACTTTTATTTACTCCTTGCAGATTACTCACTAGTGTAACATAGTTTTTCTGGTAATTATCGCTTTTCTTCGTGTTACTTGCTGTTCACCAGCTCCATTAAGTATGCAGGTGCACATGACCATCAGACAACCACACTTCACTAAGGTCACTGAACGCTGCAAATTTACTTCAGGCAGGCTCATAGGTGTGTATAGAACAACCTCCTTGAAGCTCGCAGAGGCAGAGAGTGTTCCTGCAGGGCAGGCGTTTGCCAACATGAGTCCTGAAGTCCGGTTGTGTTTAATAAGCAGCCAACCTTTCGTGCAAGAATTTTGCACAGTGTCAGCAGAAAGTGCTTTTTCTCCTGCTGTGCAGAAGATTCAACAGCAGACCGACCCAAAAAAAAGTAATTACACACCTAGTGAGCAGAAGTTGACAAATTAAAGATTATTACATCCTCCGAAAGGTAAATTTAGGGCGCCATAAACCTCGACAGGGTTCAGTCATGGGTTTAACTTCCTAGCAAGCAGCTATGCTATAAAAGCATGTGCTACTTTTTTTTAAATTTGGAGTTGGATCTCCTCATTTCAGATTCAAAGGGGAGCTTATTAAACACTGTAAAAACTGGTTATTAAAAGATAATATGACACAAAAGTCCAATATTCATTATTTTAGAGTAAATTTAAAAGAATATTGTTTAAAAAAAAAAGGCTGGGGAGAAACTTATTCAGCATCAGAGGTAAAGACTTTCAGCTCCCAAGACTAAGCACCATCACCCTGGGAGCTGTAATCTGAAGGTCTGCGGATTATCCTGATGTAGAGGGATGCTGGTGAGCTTCAGCAGGTGTGTTCTTACGAGAAAAGTCAGTGAGCGTCGCTCTTCCTGTCCTCAGCGGGAGCCAATCATGTGCCCTTGAGCAAGTCATATTATCCTTGAATGGAGCAGCTGATCTATGACTTGTACTTGAGCAAAGTGGTTGCAATGGCAGTAATGAATGAGCGCTCACGTCTAGCACTTCATCCTAAACAATGTCGCTCAGCCTCCAAAAATATGCAACATGACTGTATAGAAACGGCTCCATTTATAAAGTGGAGGCTATATTCTCTTTTTAGGGTAGTCAGGTGTTAAATGAGCCGGTTCATATATAGCACTTTTATACTCGAGCACTTGGAGCGCTTTGTACGACTTGCCTCATTCACACGAGCACTTTTTATACACCTTTATATCTAACATTGACACGCCAATGAATGCATCGGAGCAACTTTGGCATGCAGATTAGCAGTCAGGAATTGAACTACCAACGTCTGATCTAGTCTTATAATTAGCTTGTGCATTCTCAGTAAAAAACATACAGTACTTTACGAGTCAAATCTGTTGGGGTACCTGGGTTGTTGACCCAGTGTTTTGAGTTTTTTATTATTATTGAACTTTGATTTTGTCATTATTTATATTTCTAGTATTTTGGTTTCTATGTTAGCATTCTTAGTCTCCTGGTTTCTGTCTCTGCTTCATGGTTCCTCTGTCTCCCCTGTCACCTGTATCCCCTTGTTGGGGCTCTGTGTTATGTTTCCTGTTTTACTTTGAAAGTCCGTGTCTCATGTCAGTGTTTCTAGTTTTGTTTTCCTTGTCTCTTGAGGTCTGATTTGTCCCAGCTCTGTTTCCCTCCCATCTCCCATTCCCTAATTGCACCCTCTGTGTATTTAAGTCCTGTGTTTTCCTCGGTCTCTGTCGTGATCTCCATCATCTCTTACTGTGCGTTCTGTCTGTCAGCCTGCATACCTTGTTTAGTTTATTTTTATTTTCAGTTCAGTTATTTTTTGCCATCCTGCAGTAATGCTGTGTTTGAGTTCACCTTTTTGCCTCCATGAGTCTGCTGCACTTTGGGTCCACCATTACTGCCTGCTGCACACAGACATGACAACATCATCCCTGGATCGATGACTTGTAATCGATGACACCTGTTCAGCTGCTCATTAGTACAAATATGTAATCAGCCAATTACATGTATTGCTTTCAAAGCATTTAGGTACGTAGACATGGTCAAGACGACCTGCTGAAGTTTGAGCATCAGAATGGGGAAGAAAAGTAATTTAAGTAACTTTGAATGTGGCATAGTTGTTGGTTCGTGTCTCAGAAACTGCTCATCTGCTGGGATCTTCACACACGACCATCCCTGAGGTTTACCAACCTTGAAGCAGATGAACTACAACAGCAGAAGACCACACCAGGTGAAAGTGAAGCTACAATTCACGTGGGATCAATAGGCGAGATAATAGTTGACTGGAAAAACATAACATTGGCTGGCCTGATGAATCTCAGTTTCTGCTGCAACATTTCAGATGGGAGGATCAGAATCTGTCTTAAACAACATGAAGACATGGATCCATCCTGTCTTGTATCAACCGTTCAGGGTGCTGCTGGTGTATATTTGGTGGATATTTTCTCGGCATACTTTGGACCACTCTGTGCCAATTCAGCATAACTTCATTACCACAGCCTACCTGAGTATTGTTGCTGAGCATGTTCATGCCATTATGACCACAGTGTACCCATCTTCTGATGGCAGCATTAAGCAGCATAACATATTATTACACAAAGCTCAGATCATCACAAACTGGTTTCTCCAACATGACCATGACTTCACTGTCTTCAACTGGCCTCCACAGTCACCAGGTCTCAATCCAATAAAAGAGCTTTAGTATGTGGTGGAACAGGAGATTCATATCAAGCTCACGGTCAATAGTTCAAAACATGATTTCTACTTCTCCCTGGGTGGTGGCTTTATTTGCCTGACTTTTTGTATTGGTCTCACACACTTATTAAAATAATTTAGAGTCCTCTTCCTTTATGTTGCAGTGCTGTTTACATGCATGAACATAGTGTGTGTAGAGCCCTTATTTATTGGAAATGTATTTAATTGGGGCCACAAAGATTTAAAGCATGATCTAGGTTCTTTATTTCTTTAAACATCTAGTTCTTGGTTAGTGTTTGGGCTTAAAATCAAGATGAGAGAGGTGCCACAGCAATTTGCTTGAATAGATGCAGGCATTCATGACTCAGTATGATGAGGCCCAATTCCTTCCATTTTACTGAAAGCATAAAGATTTTCACTGTCAATGAAGCTGGTACATAAAACACTGCATTGCAATGTTGTATTTCAAGCAACAACTGTGGAAAACACTGACTTCCTGGAAACGGTGTCTCGTGTGAGCACACTAAATACTTACAAATTGAAGAGAAACAGTATGTAGTTTCAAACTGGTACACAACGCAAAGCTGTTCTTCAATTTTCACACCTTTAGTTTGTGGAAGAATTTGTGTTGAAACTTTGTTATCTTAGTAGCAATCATAACCACAATGGCATCATTGTGCCGTCGTCATTAGATAATTATCTGAGACCTGACAAAATTCCCCCCGAGCCTCCTGAGAGAAGACTTTATTCAACAGAAATCAACTGATTTTTGTGTGTGAAGTTGGCAGAATCCCTTCTTTGGGATGAAATTTGGATTTCCACGTGTCGAAAAAGGTTATGACGATGTTAGGTTAAGCAGGTTAGGCATGTGAAATTTTTCTGAATTCGAACGTGTAACACCTCTGGTGTAGAAAAGAAATAGCAAAAAGAAGCTAATTTTACCTATTTACATACTTTTATGTGTATGTGCATATTCCCATGTGTGCCTGCTGCCTCTCTGTGTAGGTAGGCATATATTCACATGCTGGATTTGAGAGATTCAGTAGTGAGGCAATGCTGCTTGGATCCCATTTATCTCTGTCAGACAGTTATTACCAGGTATTATAGTGCCTAAGTGAAAGCCTGTCGACTTGAGTAAGACTCTGCTGGGGAGGAAGAGGTGGGAGTACTGGTGTGTTAACTGGAGGCTTATGCCCTTTGTGAAAAAAAGTCTGACAAACACCTTCAGTGTAATTAAACCTTGCATTTAGATGGGCACCCTCCTTCGGCTTATTTCCATGCCACTCATCACAGCACTGGAATAACAGGACTTTTTGCACTTGAGTACTTCAGATTACCTCGCTACAAATCTGAAACACTATATCATAACATAAACACACATTAATAAACCAAAGTGATATCCCGGTAGTGTGTCAGGGTTAATATGTGACTCATGCTGGCAGCTCAGACTTGATTTTCTTTATGTAATTTGGGCCAAAGTGCCTCTTGTGTGCCCTTTTTTTCCCTTCTTCACGAAACCTTTTTGTCACCTGCGCTGCACTTCACACTTGACTGTGAAGAAGGGGAAGAAAAGGAGGGGGAAACGTGAGTGTCGTTAATCTGCCTGTCTGTCCTTTGCAGGTGGTCGGCGGAGCCTGGCTTTTCAGCCGCCTCTACTGTAACGTCTTTGTCACGCTGGATGTGATGATGTGCACCGCCAGTATTCTCAACCTGTGCGCTATCAGCATTGACAGGTGAGTGCGAGTGTGTGTGTGTGTGTGTGTGTCTTTATCTTTTTGCTGCAGTTACTATGTATGACTACAGATGTTGCCATGACATCTCCAGTGTAAATGTCATCTCTGTTAGACTTTTTTTCCGTCACCTCGCCACGTAGACATTTCAAAGCTCGCTGAAGGATTAAAATATTTTCCCCATCTTGCTCGTATCTTCTTGATAGTTGTGTGTCTGTGTGTGCATCTCAGCGTGCAAGTTTCTCACAACGAGAGACAGTGAGAAAGTAACAGGAGTGAGCATGTGCATGCAGGCTAGGTGTTTTTAGGTTTTTGGCTAATTGCTGAGAAGATGTTTGTGCCATTGCACAGGAAAATGTCAAGCATGAGGACCTCGAACCTCTCCTGCAGCATCTGGTGTTTACATCATTATTTGCGTAGGTTTTGTTCTTGTATCAAAGTGAACATTTAATATCTCTAAAGGGTCTTTGAACTTGGAACCCCACAGGCATCAGGGGTTCAACTGCACAGGATGAATACACTGATGCATAAGAACTCTCGGGGGGATATATTTGCTCAGCCTGTATGGAGAAGGGAGTGTTTGCCTTTCTCTGCAGCGAATACGACTGCAGGGGGAAATGAGCGCTTTCATGAGTTTGCATGACAGTAAATGTTTTATAAGTCCCAGTTTCACTTTGTGTGACTCTGAGTTTTTGGTATTATTTCAAATACATTCATTTGCCGCAATAACAAACAAGGTTCTCCTGCAGTATTTGTTGTGGGGTTTTAACACATTGCTATTACTCTTGATTTGTTACTCATTATATTACTTTATATTGCATCATTGCCTAAGATACAGCTACAGCTAACTTAGAATTGCCAATAAATTAACATGGATGTATTCGGACCATGGAAGAAAGCTGCTAGAGAAAACTCACATGGGCACAGGATGAACATGCCAACTCCACAGAAAAAGACCCAACAAACGAGCAGATCTGAACCACTCTGCCAGATAAGGAGGAAACGTGAAACCAGAGTTGTTGCCACATATCAACAAGAATCTCTGTCCAAGCAAGAGCCGTCAAAGACTACATTTCCTCCAGAGCTGAGAACTCCCTCCACAAAGCGAGTCCCTGGACGAAGGATCTCTGGCTCCAGCTTAGATTTCCTCAAGAACATCAAAACGATATCTGCCAATTTTTGTTACATCAATATGATAAGCATTTGTGAGGATATAATGGGAAACGGCCCTACCTCACAGTGGTGAAGACTACTTCCAAAGAGTCCTCCTTTGGATTGACTCCAAAAGTGAATCACTCCTAAGTTGGGCCAGGGCCCAAAACGTCAATGCAAATCTGTTCAGAATTTTTTTTTTTTTTTTGGTTAATTTGGCCAAATTTTAACCTTTAAAAAACCAATCCCACAACCCCCTTGGTGGAGGTTATAAAAAGTAAAATATAACATTCCTACACTTAATTTTAGTAGTGATATTTTTATAATGCCAGCGAGAAAATGCTCACAGTGTGGTGGGAGTTTCTTCTAGTCAAAAACCTACAGAGACATCTGCAGCTTCGATCACTTAGAGAGTTTATCGTGAGAGTTTGTCATTTGTTCACTATTCCAAAGACACTTGGTACTGGTTCTTGGTTTATTAACAATGAAATAATCAGATATAAATAACCAAACTTCCATAATGAAGCGTCGAGTGTAAAGAATAATAACAATGCAAATGCAAATAATACAAATGCTCGAGGTAGGTAGTAACGAATTCTATTGAACTGCAGGTGCAGTTGAAACTGCACTGAGCTAAACAAACACTAGTTAGACTTCAGAAATAACTCAAGTCCAAAAGCAAAAGAACAATGAAAACAGCACACAAAATAGAAAACAAGAATCTAAAAAAAAATTCAAACTCATAACCCTGAGTCCAAAATCCAGAACAACAGCAAAAAAATAAATAAATCTTGCTATGTCAATGCTGTGTTCATGAAATGTGTCTCCTGTCAGAAGTGGCCAAGAAATCATTATAAATGAATTAATAAACAACAAAACCAACAATGAGAATCCGGGTTTAATGAGGCAACATGGCACAACAGAAATGCCATGGAGCTCTGAGGGCAAAAAAGGGCAGTGGCCCCAATTCCAGAGCATATAAACATGTTAATCTGGCAGCGATTGTATCCTGTAAAACTTTCCTGACATCATTTTTTTGTACGAATCCAACTGGTTAAATACTTTATGTGGCTGTCTTCACAATTAAATTAGCAAATTAGATATCCTGAAACCCTTCTTTTATTTGTTGGACTGCTTGATTCTTTTGGATGTTTCATAATTTGCACCTGAGCAATGAAGTCATCCTGAACGCTGCTCTTCTTCCTGTTTAATACAGAAGTCAAAAGCACCTCTGCAGCATCAGATGTTTGTGTGCTTCTAAATTAATGCAAAGCCCCTGGGACATTGCGTGCCACTGAGATCAGTTTTACCTTCGCAGCAGCACCGTTAGTTTATCGCATTGATCTCTTTGAAAACAGAGGATTTGTCAGCTTTCAACGGCTCTTCAGAAGCAGCGTAAATACGCGATAACCCAAGTTCTACCGTGAAACTTCAAGGAGAATTGTCCCGGTGAAAGTACTTACAGTTTAAGTCGTGCTTTGAGTGGTGATTTTAAGAGCTGATGAAACTAAAGGTGTAACGTAAAGCAGCGCTTGATCAATAAAGGTTGCATATAATTTTTTTTATCATTCAACTTTTTTCCTTTCTTTTCCTTAATTTTTTTTTAATCTTTGCATTTATTCTAACCCAGCAGCGCCGTGGCAGGAGGTTAAAGGCAAAGGGAAGCAGCGTGGGAAGAATATTTTTAGTGGATGTCCGCGTTTGGCTCCGGGTTTCACTCTGCATTTTGCCCAGAGAAGAACAGGAGTAATTAGCCTGATGAGGATAAACAATCATGGCAGTTGTCTGGCTCTAAACAACATTACATCACATCTATTTTGGGTTGGGTTCCAGCATAATTGCAGCTTCTTCTAGGCTATTGCTGGACAGTTTTTCCGGGCTCATTATACACTCTTGGCATATAGTGTGCTGATTAACTCTTAAATCAAAGCCTCACTAGAGTTACTGCTGAATACCCATTTGTTTCTAAATAATAGTGCCTGGTACGCCTTCCCATTGTTGGTCTTTATACCATCCACTTTTTCTCTGCATTGCATTTCTTGGCATCCCCAAAGCCCAACACTCTTTTTCTCCCTTTAATTATTCCCTTTTGCAGGACCGCATCAGCACTTTTTCCTTCATTCAAATGTCACCACCTGTCCTCTGTACAAATACGTCTGCAAAGCTGAGCAAACTCTAATCCTTGTCTGTGTCTGCAGGTATACGGCAGTAGTGATGCCCGTCTTGTACAACACCACTCATCGCTCCAGAAAAAGAGTGTTTGTCATGATTGCTACCGTGTGGGTCTTGGCCTTCGCGGTGTCCTGCCCCCTGTTGTTTGGATTCAACACCACAGGTCAGCTCAGCAACATTTCGACTTTGGCTTGTTTTCTGGTTAACGTTAATTACGTAATTTAGAATTAAAGTTTAGTGTTCTTAGCATTTAGGATGGCCGTGGTGAGTAACTCAAGTGCTGTAAACATTTCATGTGTCGTCTGAGTTTTGTCAAGTCTGTGAAAGTAACAGCAAATGATATTATTGGCATTAAGAGCTGAAACATGTCGAATCTGAAGGATGTGGGCAGATCAGGGAAGCAGAGTCTAATGCAGTATTCCTGTCATGTTGTGAGGATGTAATCACAGAGAAAATGACCATTCATGTCACACATTTGCAGCGTTTTCACAGAGTTTGAGATTTTGTGCAATTTCTGACAGCTACAATATTTCCTGTTAAAAAAATAAGTAAATGTATAAACCAACAAGTGGAAGATTCACTGCAATGCCACAACTGCTGCTGTTGGTTATTAATAAAACCCAGCGTTACAGCTTTTCTCATTTGGATGTTGTTACTTGCACAAGTAAGAGTGTTTACCATCAACAGATGGTGAATCTGCTCAGATGAACATTTTACAGGTGTAGAAGCCTGACTAAGGAGAAGAAGAGTGAGGGAGGATTGTAGTGTAGCAGGGAGATTACAACAGGAGGGAGGTGCAGAGGGTGGATGCAGTGTTGATGGTGGGTTTTCTCCTGTTACAGTGCAACGGGAGCATTAGATAAGTATGCATGACCAAAAGACACAGCAGGATGTGCAGTGATTCCTGTACTGTGCACAGTAGGGCTATTTTTTATTTTGCATGTGTTTTTATACAGATACTTTTCTATGCTGTTCTGTATTTATTCTAACAGCGTTTTACTCTATTGTGGGATCAGTGCAGGAACAAAAATCCCCTCATTCTTGTCTGCAAGTCGAACATAAAACCTTGCTATCTTGAACTCAGCATCTGAAGTATTCAGCTCATCCAAGTATCCACTTTCATACACAATCGTGGTCAGAAAACCTATAGTTTTACACTCGAGGCATTCACTGTCAGTGAAACCAGGTAGGACAGAGAGTCTTTTGCTTTTTAACACTACATCATTTTTGATTTGGGTTGCTTATTGCTTGTTTACAAATGTGTTGTAGCGTGGCATTACATCTACTACGGCCCTGCCTCTGAAATAGACAAGCTGATATTGAGCAAACAAAGAAAGCATTCACACAATGAATTTCAGAGCATAAAACAGCTATCCGCTCAAGGAACATGGAGCCAAACACTGTCATGAGGCCAAAAATGGCTCCACTGTTACTCTGCTGGACTCAAATATGTGACTCTCCCAGCCAGAGGGGCCAGTCTATCAAAGTTGCTGTCTCAGAGACTGAGATGTATTGGACTCAGCATTGTAATGTCTTTTGGAGTGAATGATGATTATAGTTCAAAATGCTTTCCTCTGAGCAAGTTTACATACAATATAGAAACATTAGATGTTCGCTACAAACCCTCAGACCTCAGCCAGAATCATCCCGCTTTGCTTTTAATCATTACTCTTTTGTGAATCTTTTAGCCAAACTGCTGAATTTGAACAACATGACGTCCGTTTTGGCTCCGATGAAAGCCGCAGAGATGGCACGTTAGCAAGTTTGTTGGCTTGTCCAGAATAAATTGTGGACTTTTTCCTGATATTTGCAAAAGTGGTTCTGTTTACCTTTGTGCACTCAACACTGGATTTTCACATAGAGCCTTCTTTATTGTCAAAACTTTAAATCATCAGCCCCCAAATTTCTATCTGCCTGTTGTTGACAGTTGTTTTTATGCTGAGCCTTATTTGTCACTCATGTGCTTGTGTGCATTTCTGTCTGCCCCTGATTAGGTCATAGATGCCTTTAAATTTCATATTTTTACTTCTTCCAGTTAAAATTACACTTACAATAAATTGCCGCTTGCTATTTTCCTCATTTTAAAATGTTGCTATTAAAGCATTAATTAGACATGTTCTAATTAATGCTATACGCACTCATTAACCCCGATCATGCCTGGGTGCTCACTGACACACTCACTTGCTTCTTCATTAGTTACACATTGCTAGCACTGGGTTGGTTCCTCCTTCTGCCTTCAGAAGTGCTTTAAGTCATCATGGCACAGATTCAGATTCGGCATCACATCCATGATGTCAAACTCCTGTTCGAGCAAATCCCAAAGGTGCTCTACTGGAGAGATTGAGAGCTGGTGAATGTGGAGTACATATGAATCGATATTTGGTAAAATAAATAAATAAATAAAAATGGGACAAGAATATTACACCACCATTGTTTGGATGCTTTCAGGTGGTTGAAACTCATCAGAGCAGGCAACATTTTTCAAATCTTCTGCTGTTCAATTTTGGTGACCCGATGTGAATTGTCGTCTCAAGGCGCTTTATATTGTGTGGTAGACCCTACAACAATACAACAGAGAAAACCCTAACAATCATATGACCCCCTGTGAGTAAGTGCTTTGGCAACAGAGGGAAGGAAAAACTCCCTTTTAACAGGATGACACCTCCAGCACAGCAGGTTCAGGGAGGGGCGGCCATCTGCCGCAGTTATATGAGCAATTATTTGAGTTACTGTTGCCTTGCTATCAACTCAAAGCAGTCTGGCCATTCTCCTCTGACCTCTGGGATAAACAAGGCATTTTTACCCTGAGAACTGCAGCTCACTGATATTTTCTCTTTTTCGGCCCATTCTCAGGAAACCCTAGAGATGGTAGTACACTAGCACAGCAGATCAGCACTTTCTGCAATACCACGCCACAATCAAAGTCACTGAAATCACTTTCTTATTTCAACACTTTCTTCTCTACTTCAAAGATTGCACTTGATTGATTGAATCATTTATGTCCATTAAACCTCCTCTTAATACACTGTTTCATTGGAGGCCTTTTTTGTATCTTTGGTAAGTGGCTGTTTTATATATTTAATACTTGTTTATTTATCCCTGTCTTCTTTGCTTTTGATCCTTTTAGATTTTTGTATTGATTTATTCATGATCCATGCTCCTTTTATGGTTGGTTTTTATTTTTGTTCTTTTGTTGTTTTTAATTATTGTAGGAAGTCCTTCAAAGAAAAAACTTTGCAACTTTGTTTGCTCTGTCACACATTTTTCTAGTTAAAAAGAAAAGTAAAGCAAATATTTCTTTTGTCCTTTAAAAATATTGTTTGCATTGCAGTCTGATTGGATGAGGTTACGTCAAGTGGAAAACAGATGCCGTCTTGTTTATTGTTAAAAATCATTTGTGTTTTCCAACACTGAAGATGTGCTGTAAAGCCAGATCACATATAGTTTGAAGCTAAATAACGAAATATGAACAATGTCACCAGCAGCTATTTTAATTTCAATAGCCAGCAGCAACACAGATGCATGAGTGAACACACACAATTAAGACCATTAGTGAAACACAATGTAAAGCAAATCACAGACATGCAAGCACTAAGTTTAGTCTACTTATAGCCAGAGTGGAAAAAATGGCTGTTTATTGCAGGAATCTGACCACTCAGGGGCGGAGACCGGGGTGGGGTGGGGGGGTCCTGTTAGGTCTGAAATCCTTCGTCTTTCTTTTGAAGTAATCGACTGACACGGATCAGCTCAAACAGACAAATCTGTTTTGTTCCCAAACAAAAAAGAAATAATCAGCACTCTGAGTCTAGCAGCTGAAGGTAGTTTGGAGAGTGGCACCAAATAGATTGTATCTATCCATCCTTCATCCCACTTCTCTGTGTACTGAGGTATCGCTCAGGAAGCTCATACCAACACAGACATGTGATATGCATTTCACTGCAGCTTTTTTTTCCATTTATTTTCATGCTAATTATACAGGTGACATGATTTTGGATGAGGAATTTGTCTATGTACAGCCTTTATTATATGAAGTGGTCTCTTATCCTGAATTTATTGCTCAGTTCTTGTCAGATCAGTTATGTCTCTATCTTGCAGTGATCTCTGTTAGGGTATAGCATGTGTTCGGTATATAGGTATTATATGAAAAGAGGACAAACGATCAAGGCTATTTTCAAGATTGATAGCATACTCTGGGGTCAGAGAGCCAGCTTTAAATGATGATGTTTGTCTCTTTTATTATCCTATAATTTTAAGGCTGTTTTCCATAATGATATTTTCCTTTTATTGCAGACAACCCTTTGGTGTGCTCCATCTCCAACCCTGACTTTGTGATCTACTCTTCTGTGGTGTCCTTCTATTTGCCGTTTATTGTCACTCTGCTGGTTTACATCCGCATCTACGTCTTCCTCAGGATGAGGCGGAAGAGGATCACTTTTGGACAGGCCAGTGGAAAGGTGCAGCCAGGCTCCACCCCACCGTCTGTGGTGAGTCGGTTTCCATTATTAGTTTTTTTAGTGGTGCACGGTATAGTAAAAGATGCTTTATGAGATAGTTAGTTTAACAATAATTATCTATTGATTCTAAAAATCTATTTAGAGGAGCAGCTTTGGGGGTCATCATGAAGAAGTTTTTGACCTTGTCATAAAAAGCCACAAAATCTTCCAAACATTTATGAATAACAATAAGATTCACTTGATTACTTACACTGAGATTGCCTTGACCTTTTATAATGAGCTCATGATGTTTAGAACTGTAGATGTGCTGTTATAATGATTTAATAATCATCTGACCAGGGTGTGATTTGCCGATGGGGTTGTGAGGGATTCCGCTTCTCTGGTCTACGTGTTCCTGCTTCCACAAAATCATTTAATTATTCTATAAATGTCACATTAAAGAACAGATATTCTGACAGACGTCAGAGTATAAAGGGGCCACGGTGGTGCCTGAATTATTTTTGCTGAGGGCAAAATAAACACATCATCCTTTCTTTTTCTTTTTCTTTCATATATCAAACCTAAGATGTCAAAAATAATAACTGGGCAGCTAGACCAGTTATTATACTATTATAACACCTTTCACATTCACTGTGCTCCATTTCTGAAAAACTGTTATTTAGCTCCTGATTTATTGTAAGTGTATTTTCCTCACAGCAAATTCATCTTTCTCAGATTCTGTCTCACTCACTTATTTGCATTCACCAATTTTATGCACTGATAACGAATTACAACTCACCTTTATTTTGGACCCTTTTACAATTAGATAGATTCCCGGTGTGCACAGGGGGGGAAAAAACTCTATTAGACTCTAATAATTGTTTAATTTTAGAGTACAAAATGTAGACAAAGTGATCAACAAGAAAACCGCTGCCAGAAATACTGTAAAAGTGCCCGGGAAAAGGTGTCTTCTTCTGATATGCTGAATATTATATTATGATATGCTGAATATATTAAAAAAATCTGAATGAAAAAGTAAATAAACAAAAACAAAAAAAATGCATAATTATTTGTTGACAGTCAGAAAAAAGGTTTTCACTGGACTCCCTGAAGTGCTGTAAAAATCCAAGTACTTCAATGATTCAGTAGTTTGTGAAACCACCTTTAGTAGCAATAACTTGAGGTGTTGCTTTTCTCTATGACTGTCACGGAGGTGGAACGGACTCAGGCGCAGACTGAGAAAGCACGGTTCAACAATACTTTATTAATCACACTGGTGCGCTATGTACACTGGGGAAACACACTTCTTCGCACTTGCTCCGCTCCTTGTCCAAACAATCTCCACACAAGCTGCCCACTCACACTCACGGGGTCCAGGGGTCACAAAAGGGCTGATCCAGGTAAATCTATTAACACAGACGAGGGTAAGTCGAAGGCAAGCATGGGAACAACAGAATCGCAATGAAGCCAGGCAATACTAACGAGAGTTACTCAATATTCCAGCAACGAGTAGCTCAGAGCCCCTGACCTAAGAAGAGCTGCAAATCACCGGAGATCAGCTGCAGGTGCGTGGGCCAAGGGCGGGAGCCCAATCAGAGCTCCGCCCACGCAGACAGGTAGGAGAGAGAGAGAGAGCAAGGCGAGGGAAGCAGAGAGAGAGTAAAACAACAAACACTTGTGGCCACACTGGGCTGGCCGGGGAGGCACAGGGACCATGACAATGATTTTATCAGTCTCTTGTGTCATTGTCAAGGAGTTTTGGCCCATTCTGCCTTACGATGTTGCTCCACTTCATTTTCAGACATTCATTTCTTTACAGCTCTCTTAAGGTCCCACCACTGCATTTCAATCAGGTTGAGGTCTGGATTTTGACTCTGCAATTGCAACACTTTGATTCTTCTTTTTCAGCCACTCTGTTGTGGGTTTGCTCCTGTGCTTGGGATCATTGTCCTGCTGCACAGCTGTTAGACAGATGCCCTCACATTTGACTCTAGAATACTTTGGTATACAGAGGAGCTCATAGAAGACTCAATGATTGTAAGGTGCCCTGGTCTGTGTCTGCAAAACAAGACAAATCATCGTCCCGCCACCACCGTGCTTGACAGTTGGTGTATGGTGGTTTTTTTCACCAAATTTGGCACTTTGCATTATGACCCAACATCTCCAATTTGGCGTCATCTATCCAAAGGAGATCGCTCCAGATGTTTTGTGGTTTGTTTAGATGCAAATTTGCAAAGCTAAGCTCTGCCGCGTGTTCTTTTTGAAGACTTTTTCCTGGCAATTCTTCCAAACAACCCATACCGGTTTAGTCATGTTCTAATTGCACTGTGATGACCTTTAAGGTTTAATAAGCTAACTGAGGCCTATAGAGCCTGACATGTTGGTCTTGAGCTTGAATGGGAAATATGGTTGGATGTCCACTCCTAGGAAGATTGTAAGATCATGTTTTCACCACACCATCAGCTAATCACTACCCTTGCTTTTATAGAGGAACACTTTAATCAAGTGCATTTGATTAGCATCACCTGGCTGCTGCTTAATTTCTATAAAGATAGTGAGGGTCTATTTAGTTTTTCACAGGACTGCAAATAGACATCATTGTTGACACATGTGGACATTTCCATGTTTTGTTGCATAGCAAAACCAGCTGAGAATTAATAAGAAGTTAAAGTAACTTCAGTGAAAATGTTTTACTTTGATTAATGTGCGCTGATGGGGTCATGTGACCTTTATTCAAGTAAAATTGGATGGATGGATGGATGGATGGATGGATGGATGGATGGATGGATGGATGGATGGATGGATGGATGGATCTGACAAACAAAGCAAGCAAAGCAAGCTTAAGTTATATTTTAGTCCTCATAATAATAATGTAGGCACAAGGGTCACATTGTTCTTTAATCTCTATTATGAGACAATTTCTTTCTCTCAACAAGCTGTCAGTTTTTCAATCGTGTCCCAGTTACATCTATCATACAGATGATGGATGTCAATAACCACAGGCAAGGATACATTAGGTCACATTTAATAAATCTGCACCCTATTATTAAAATATGGTCTATAAAAAGACAAGTCAACCCAGTAACTTGAATAGCTTTGCCACACCTAGAAGCTTCCTGAGTATTCTGGCTGTGTTCATTGCACCCTTTGTTTCCCTTTGTTCCCTCCGTTTTAACACTAGATAACAGTGCAGTCCCATTTTGGAATCTCATCCAGGAGTGGAGGCCTCCAGCTGTAAGATGCCAGCTCTGCAGGGGTTCAGGTTGAGAGAACTACGGTGGAATGATGTTTTTAAACAAGATAATAGGACTCTTACTGAGTCAAGAGAATAAACGTTTCCTATGAAGGAGGAGTATGTCTTTTTTGTGTGTTTCAAAGGCACCTATCTCTATTTTCGCAGCAAGCTTTAATTGGACTGCACAGCGTTCGGCTCAGGAGGGAGTGACTGAAGGCACAACAGGCGTAAATCCTAATTCTTTTGATTTTTAGTCCGCGTCGGGGACGCTCAATGAGAATTGGTTGAATTTTAATGAAAGCATTCTGGAGATGAAAAGAGATGGATCAATGAGTTTGAAGTGAACAGCACAAATATGTTCCACTTGTGGACTGATGGGATTGAGGTGACGGGGTTTTGTTCATTTCTCTGGAAACTATTTTCTCTGTTGAACTTTCCTCTGATCCCCGTAGGAGACCTGTCTGCAAGAAGAGACTCCAAAGGCGAAGCACGACTTGTCACCTATAAGGATTAAAGTGGTGGGTGTTATGTTAAACCAGATTTTATTTTTTTCTATTGCTCTACTTTTGTTTTTTAACTTATATATCACTGTTTAATGCTTAGGTAACTTATATTGACTGTGTTGGAGTTTTGTAATGTGGTTGCATGAATTTTAGCTTTTCATCTCGGTGTCTCTATGACGTGTTCAGATAAATTCGATTTTTTTTCTCATTTGGCTGTGTGGTCGCAGCCTGGGGGGGTCACAGAAGGAGCCAGGAATTGTGATTGTGCAAAATTCAGCACCTGCAAAATTCACACAGCATTCAACGGCAGAGGATTCATATCAGCAACGAAATAAAAAAGCGCGATGGGCTGAGAATATCATGCAAATTCATGTTTGTGGTCTTGCTGCAAATTGTACAGTGCTTAAAAACGTGTTATTGCTGGAGAGGGAAAATTGAGATTGAATTTGTCACAGGTTTGGAAAGTTAAAGTAATTGCTGGCACAAGAGATAAATGAAACAGCTCCTAAAATGTAGCAGGATTTCCTGGCGTGTGCTGAATGTCAACTATTGAACTTGGAGTCGGGCACACTTTTAGTCCATCTGAAGAGCCCTTCAGATATGTATTGACCATAACTTTACATTTTTCTGAATCTTATTTGCCACTTTGTTGGCTTAGCAGAGCAACCCAGCTCTCAGCTCCACATATTTTCCGCATGAGGTTAAGGAGGATAAGCTAAAGGCAATTTCTCAATAGATATTACGAGGGGTGAGGGAAAATAGAAGGTAGAGCAGTGAAGTGTGATGACTTAATTTAAACATTAAAACCAAAATAATGTTGTTTTCAATACTCTGGGGCGGCAACACAAGCTGAAAACACAAAATTGGCACATAGTCACCTTAGTCAAGAGAGGTGAAGCAAACAAATAGATATTTAGGCATTCAGCAGGCACACGGAAACGTTTAAACTTGTATTTCAATTCAGTTTGATTTATATAGCACCAAATCCCAACAACAGTCACCCCAAAGCACTGTATATTGTAAGATAAAGACCCTACAAGAGAAAGCCATTCAATAAATTAGAGCAATCACTTGGTGACAGTGGGAAGGAAAACTGCCTTTAAACAGGAAGAAATCTCTGGCCTATCCAGGCTCAGGGAGGGGCAGCCATCTGCTGCTTGGGGGTGTTTATTGTGAATCTTTAACCTCTGTTTTGTTTTTTACCCTCTACAGAGGAAAATGTCTTTTTTTAATCCTTTTTTAAACCAGGTAGTGAAACTTTTGTGATGAAAAATCTCCTTTACAACAGTGTCCTAGAATGAGATAAGAAGTATTAATATATATCTCAATGGCAGGACAAACCAGGCCCTCTTGCTGTCTGGCTACAGTGCTAACCACTGAGCCTTCATCCTGCCTAGCTGGTTTTGTTTCATCTGTCTCTGTTGCAAATAAATGGTTGAATATGTTCACCAGATGGAAACTTTGTCTGCCAGCTGATGCTCAGATACTAGTGGCTCTGTGGTGCAGTGGTTAGCACATTTGCCTTACATGTAAAATATCCCCAGCTTGATCCTGGGAGAAGACACAAACCCAGCATCAGGGTCATACTGCACTCTGGCAGCTGGTCCCAAGTACAGATAAATGGGAGGGTTGTGTCGGGGAGTGCATCTGGCATAAAATCTGTAGATCCATCTGCTGAGGTGACCGCTTGTTTTCATTCCATTTTATATGATTTTGGTTTGTCTCTGATCTCCTACATGCTTCTTTACTGGTCTTGAATGTACCGCAGCGTGCCCTCCTATCTGTGAACACACTATTAGGATGTCTGGTTATTTACTGTTACTATTCTGCTGTGGAATTGTTCAAATTGTTCAAAATTTAGGAATCGTTGTGGCCATAATAAGATAAATTAATTATTGTTTTATTTAGCAAAGTTTCCATCACACAATTAAATCCAAATTTGTAAAAAGCACACAGTTAATAAATGTCTCTACTCAATTCCCTGGTGCCAGTCACACAATAAAACATCACATAATCTAAAATACACCTCGCTAATATTGTCATGGACTCCTTTTTGCCTTTAAAGCTCCCTTAATTAATAAAGGAATAGACTCAATGAGGTGCTGAAAACACATCCATGAAACAAATGTCCAGTTTCACCAGGAACTGTTACACAAAGTAACTTTAATCACCCGCGATGCTCACTTTGAAGTTCAGCAGGTTTGTTTTGGCCATGTCTCCATCCTCTAAAGCAGTTGTAGTCATGTGACTGGCTGATTCAATATTTACATTAAGGAGCAGTTCAGCTGTTTCGGTGTCCCTGAAAAAGGGACCGGTGACAGTATGTAAACCCCTTGAAAAATCACATCAGTTTGTCTGTTGGAAGCATTGGTGTGGAAGCACTTGAAAAATTAATTTCAGGCTCGAAACTGTTGTCCTGATACGTCCAGCACACCAACCCAGCATTAAGCCTTTATTGATTTCAAGCTGTCAATAACTGTGTCGTGTCTCGTGTCAGCAGAGTGAAGAACCCTCGGGTCCTTCCAAGCCTAACCTGCTCTCAGGATGCCTGTGGGGCAAACGCCCAAAGACAGGGCCGGTGGAGAACTCAGTGCTGCCCCCGGTGGACATGCAGAACTACTGTAGCATCAGCCATGCCTCGTGTGGCCGCACCGAGATGGATGTAGAGGAGGAGCGGGGGGAACGGGACCCCGACGAGAACAGCCAGATCCAACGTCCTCCTGTCAGGATGAGCTGTGAGGTGAAAGATCTGTCCAACGGGCAGACGCACACATCACTGCGGCCGATGTCTCACATCAGCAATCCCCGATTCAGGAGCATGCACGCGAGGGAGAAAAAAGCCACTCAGATGCTGGCCATTGTGCTCGGTGAGTGGAGGCTGAGATAAGCTGAGGAAATGAAAGTCTAAATGTCACAGTAACACACTCTATAACACAGGCAGCTATTAGAGAGGCGATATATGACCGAGTTGCTTATTCTGCTTCGACTTCTTTCCCATTTGTAGGATTAACTCTTCTGCCACATATACCCACGACAGTACCAACACGTTTTTTCTCACTGTGTGCATTTCCTGCATATTTTTCTTATCTATACTACAATAAATCAAGCTGAAATGTCAGGCCTCGGGTTCACTGTGTCGGCCCAGACAGCGCACACACTGTAGCTCCTGACACAGCTTTCACACGCTCCAATTATCAGCCAGGTTGCTTATTTAGGCCTGGTCCAGTTAGCTCTGACACAGCATAGATCTCACTGACAAAATGTAATCAGAGGTGCCCGATTACATTACACTGGTGTCAGTGAAAGCCAGTGGCGCATGCACAGAAGACAATCCCAGCCTTGCTTTTTCATCCAAACTGACCACAACTTTACCGCAATGTCAAGACACCAATTATAGCGCTTGAATTTAATGATTGCTCAAGCTACAATGCAGCATTTACAGTCTTGTTTATATACAATAAAATGTATCCTGATGGCCGCTGATGGGTAAGACTTCAATATGACTACCGCACAAACCACAGATTAAAACTGGTCTAATTGGCCCATTAAAGGTGTCCTCACAGGTCTGCTCACTAGCAACAGGGCAATAGTGGAAGATTTATCCATGTCTGTATTTATCTGCAGGTGGTAAACTATGTAGTTAGACACTGTAACATTTGAAGCTTACGTTAGAGCAGACAAAAGTAGGGCTTAATCCGTTCTTTATTTTATTTTATTCTTCTTCTTTTTTTCAAAACTGTCAGAGAAACACCACTTTGTGTTCACACCAAACATGAAGGGACACTTTGATGCAGCTTAACTGCATAGAAAGTGCAAATGGACTGGGTTTTATATTCCACTTTTTCATTTAATGACAAATCAAAGCACTTTAGACTCATATCTATGGCCAACATGCATATCTTTGGACTGTGGGAGGAAGCTGGAGTACCTGGAGGAAACCAACCCAGGCACATGGAGAATATGCAAACTCCACATAGAAAGGCCCCGGGTGATGAGGCCGTTAAAGCAAGGACCTTGTTGCTGCGAGGTGGTGGTGCTAACCGCCACCGTGCCCACCCATCTGTGCAAAGAGGGAAATAAATTTAAATTGTTATCGTAAATCTGCGTCACAAAGCGTAACCTCGCTTTGTGTTTGTTGTGAACAAACCATTACTGTTCCTGCAGATGCAGGTTTGAACCCAGTGTAGTTATTATAGGGTTGTTAAGAAGGCTTTGGTAGATAACTGGTTGAGGGAGGTTTTAGCCAGCATGTGCTGTGACCATGATTAACACAAATTCTGTTTTCTTTCTCTCCTTTTCTCTTCCTTTTTATTATAAATGTTATTACTATACCCACCACTCTGTCCGGCGTACACCTTCAATTCCGTTTTGTCCTTTCTCCATACCTCTCTGCTGTCTGCCCGCTCCAGGGGTGTTTCTCATCTGCTGGCTGCCTTTCTTTGTGACTCACATTCTGAACACTCACTGCAGGACATGCTACGTGCCTCCTGAACTTTACAGTGCTTTCACCTGGCTCGGGTATGTCAACAGCGCCCTCAACCCTGTTATCTACACCACCTTCAACATCGAGTTCAGACGGGCCTTCATCAAGATCCTCAGCTGCTGAGGAAGGAGCCACGTCAGGAAATTTAAATGGAAATGAGGCTGCGCACCCGCGCTACAAGTCCGGCGCGGAGCATTTAGTAAACGGTGGCCAGAGAGGTGCATGCTTTGTGTGCTGCATAAGTTACACAGCGGCACCAAGGTGAAGCACGGAAATGGACAAACACTGCAGGGTACAATAAATGCAAATACAGATGGAAGTTTACTTTTCGGACTCCGACGAGGGCTAAAGCTTTCATTTCTCGACATGGCTGGGATTGTATTTGAACAGTATGACTCCTCAAATGACACTTAAACATGCATACAGTCTTATTTATAGCACAAGCTTTGGGCTTTCTTGTGGATGTGTGTTGTGCATTATGTGTACTGCTCATTGGCACGCTTCATCCATTCAGTACTTTCAGATTGATGGAAAACTGACTGTAGAGCTGCAGGCCGCTTCGTTCAGAAGCCTGCTGCTAACGTAATGTGTTGACTAATTGATGGTACTCGTGTGCTCCGCTCACGCTCTTTCAATTCGATGTAGCTGTGAAGGCTCTGGGGTAAAAAAAAAAAAAAAAGGATCCTTAAAGCTGAAAAACTGATGATGCAGGCCTCAGTTGTCTGGGGGCAAATGCCACCGCACTGTGTGGACTAACTCCTCTCAGCTCTCTGTCATCACGCCGGTCCCTGAAGATTGTCCTGGTCTGGAGACATTGTGCTCAGTGTGGATTCATCCATTCATTAGAAATGTGTGATGTTTTAATGTGATGCAGAGTGGAGACATTCAGTTTTTTTGTTTGTTTGTTTGTTTTTTAAAGCGACTGTCTATTTATCCGCAACCCTCCCTATGACTTCATCAGAGCTGCCTGCTTGGCTGCTCTGATTGGCTGCGCAACCGAATATTTACTGCATTATGTTGTCAATAAAATAAAAAAAAATAGATGAAACATTTTTGAGGCTCATGTATGCGTGCATACATCTAAATGTTACTTGTCATGAAAGATGCCATTAGAGTTTGGTGCATAAAAGAGTTCTGCAGAGGACCGTGGAGGAGCCAAGCTGAGTGACCATGATACTTTGAAGATTTAAGAAACAGAGAGAGGATGAGTCTGAGGAGCAAAACAGAGATAAGGGATGATGAAGGGGGGGCTGAGTGGGAATGAGTGAAGCCAAAAATGAAAGAAATGAAGTGAGAGAACAGGGCTCAAAGATGACTGTAGGAGGAGGAATAGAGGGGAGAAAAAGGAGATGGATGGAAAGCTGCAGGAAGGAGAAGGGGGTCGGTGTTTCTCAGCCCACATCTCAGGCTCTCTCTACTCCTCTGACAGGCATAAACACCTGCTCCCCTGACGCTTTGTGCCATCGAGTCGTTCCGCTGAAACCGGTTATGATGATGACGCACAAGGTGTGTAAACGGGCGCGTGAGTGTGTGCGCATGTTTTTATTTATGGATGTACGCTGGGACATGAGCGGAACATACAGTTTGTAATCATCATAATGCAAACATCAATAGCTCGTGGCATTCCTTCCTTCTATTAAAAAAGTACATAATTTGGTGCTGAGACATTTGTTGAGCTGTTGTCAGGATTTAAAACAGGCTGTGATTCCTCTGTGATCAGATGAGGGATTTGCTCTTCTGTTCTTTAATTGAATTTGAATTTAATTAAAGGTTATGCTGTAAAGGCTGCCCAGCTGCGTGCATGTACCTCCAGATTATTCCTTGTAATTCAGTGACAATTAACAAAAAACAGACTTCTGCAAATAAACCTAAAGCCCCAAAGGCCTGACGCTACTCTAGAGGCTTAACGTTCATTACATGTAACAATGTGAAACTCCTGGAGGGATGAAATATATTAAGCTAATGGGTTTTCATCTTTATCTGTAGTGATGTTAAAAATATTGATGTTGTCCCTTAAAATGCAGCCAGAGGAAAGGTTACAAGGTCACAGAAAACAAGAGTCTACCACTTTGGGGTATTGTACGTGCTCATCCAATTTCATGGTAATCTGATTTTACTTTGAAAGATGTCGGTGTGAGCTGACTTTTTTTCCCTGAGGTCAAAGTAAGCTCATGAAGAGCTCACTGAGTATCTACAATTATGTGGAGGATCCAGATGCTCTAATTAGAATATTTCTGCCAAAAAAACCCCGCCAAATTCTAAACATTAAAATAAAATTTGTAATTTGTTACAAATGTTCTCAATAATTAGGAAAAAATTGCTTTTTTAGTCCCAGGAAACAACTTGATATTAAATTATTTTAAAAATAGACCAGTAAAATATTTTTTATTTTATATACCATACAGAGAATAAAAGATGGAAATAACCAGGATGATGTCACCCATTGGTTAGTGAAGACGATTATGAAGCATGGTGATCATTCAGTTAGCATTAGCTAAGAAGTTAGCTAAAAATATCACAAGCCAACCAACATGAGTAACGCTAACAGCAAACATAATCTAATAAGATATTTATTATTTTGAAGAAATTAATAAAGAAAGCACTGAAAATGCTTACCAGATTAGTGGGGAAAGACCTAGATTATCGAATCATGTGGCCGCCTGCACATGCTGAACTAGCTTTTATAAAAACAAACCCAGCTTCTAAAGTGACACTCATAAAGATTTGGCTAATAGTAATATTACCGTCAACAACATAAACTATTGTTTTAACAGTCAGGCAGTTGCTGCTCCCATCACTCTGTAATGTGATTTTATGTGAATGGCATCAGTGTGGAATAGTAGGACCCAGTGAGAGTAGTTGACTAAGCATTCGGAGGTCTCCTGACTCCAAAGCACTCTCAGCATTATTTCAGACTGATCATCTGTCAAAAAGTGCAGAGTAAAGTCTGTAAATATGGATTCTAAGTGCTAGGCTTACTGACAAACACGATGCATTTCCTGTGAACTCCTGTGAATAAAACTCGATGTAAAGTGAAGCTCCAAAGATGGAAATGTTTGCATTAGTAGTAACTTCATGCAGCCACATCTGTAATACTGCAAATGTTGCTGTGCTTTGGCTCAATTGCTCTGTATGGTTTTATTTATCAATAGTTAGTGATTGTTTTATTTATTTAAATGAAATAAAAGTGAGAGAGAGAAAGAGAGAGAGAGAGAGAGAGAGATGGCTACTTGAAGTGCTGACAGCGTTCAAAGTCCTCGCTGCTGCTTTCGTTCTGGATCGTGTGAGCTGCCTCGTGGAGCCTTTACTTAATTCGTATACTTCACGGTGAGCACTGAACCAGCCTGGTGAAGCTCCACACCATCTAATGTAAAGACTTCTCTGTCAGCTTTCTTTGTAGTTTTCCTTTAAGATTAACCCCAAAAAACTGGCACTGCAGAGGGCAAAGAGAGGTGGAGGAAATGGAGCAAAGCCATAGTGGAATCAATCTCATCAAAGATGAGAGATTTCACGGTAGATTTGGGTAATATCTTAAACTGCATTTACATTTTTGGCAAGAAGGAAAGGAAAAAGCAGGCAGTGCTAATTGACAAAACAGAAAAGTAATATAGAGACAGTCTTGTGGAGCAAAAACACTTGCAAAAAGTTTTTTTTCTTTTTTGTAATTATGCAAAAATTTGAACTAAATGTCCCGACTGAATGAACAGCCAGCAAATATGCACGTCTCCTCAGAGTCCTGCTGCAAGTGTGGAAAAACAGCAGTTCCACCCTAGACCTGTTATGCAAACTAACTGTTACTGGGTTCACTCTCCACTTCATGCTGCATGCGCAACCATGATCCCTGTATGTATGCTTCACAGCTGCATGCATAATTATGCCTGGGTGGACACATACAGGGGTTTTGGGGAGTGTATTTTTTGCGCGATTTGAATGTCTTTGAAAGCACTAACCAGTGCTCGATTTCTTTCTGTCTGCATGCATTTATGTGATGCACACGACAGAACATAAGTGAGTTGGGAGGGCCACAGATGAAGGAGCCATCCATGAGTAAAAGACGGAGGAAGAGTTGAGCTGCGCTGCTCATGAAAAGATGAATGCTGTGCAGCTTTTGGCATGTTTATCAGTAAGTCTCAGAGGGAAGAGGATGCTTGCTTGATTGATGGCTGCTCAGTTTCTAATTACTCTGACGTGGTTGGACTCCTGTTAATCCTGTCAAAACTCCAAATCTGACTCTCAATACTGCCTGCTGCATTGCCACTGAGGAGGTGAAAGGACATAAATAAGTTGATGCCTTCGGTTGCTTTACTAACAGAAAGACACTTCCTGCTCCTTCCTCCTCTCCTAATGGATTTGAGAGGCTTTGTGCATTTCTGTGGGCGTGTAAATGGATGTGATCGGCAGTTGCCGCATTTAACAGTGGCTAATGATGATGGATAAAGATGCTGATTACAGTCAGGACTGGCTACACGTCTTGAGTCTGTCCCTGTCTTCTTTCACCACAGCCTCTGAGGTTTTTTTCCTCACACCAGTGTGTCAAAGCGGCATGATAATTATCCTCCCCTCACTGTCTCTCCATGTCAGTTGAATGCTGCCTTTACTGTTAATTTGACACCATTTTGAGGTTAAGGAGTCGTGTGTGATGAGGAAATGAGTTCTGTTTCTCTGTTTGACTGGTCAAGATGTAATAACGCAGTGGTTTTTCAGCTCCTTTTGATTAGGCCATACCATTTAGTGACACACTTACACCTGAAAAAAGGGCACATTACAAGGGCTCAACTGCAGTCTGGGCACTTTCTACAAGGGTAAAGGAGGTGTTTGACATAATTTATGCTCACTAAAAGTTCATTTGCTGGGTCTCTCATCACTGGGAAATCAGGTGCAGGGATTTATTCATACACGGCAACATACGAGACAAAAGCAGCTTGAGTCACTATTTGGTATGACCACTTTTATTCTTCAACACAGTGTGAACTCTCTAAGGCAGCTTTCTTTTAATTTCCTGAAGTAATCTTCAGAAAAGTTCTCCAGGCTTCTTGAAGGACATTCAAAGCTCTTCTTTGCATGCTGGCTGTCTTTTGTTCTGTTCTCTGTAAAGATGATTCCACACGGCTTCAATAATGTTGAGGTTCAGGCTCTGGGGATGCCAGTCCTTGACTGATAGTGCTCCATTGTGTGTTTTTCGATCCAGGTATGCTTTTACTGTACTGACAGTGTTTGTCCTTTTTCTTTTGTTCTCCATTTGTTCACTTTCCTCAAATCAAAATAAGGACACACTACATATCATGTCAAGATATGCCAAGTTTTCAGCTAATATCTTTTTGGAAATCATCTTGTTTATCCAAAAATACCATTATATGTCTGTGAAACTGTGTTATCTTTGGCATTTTTGTAGATTCAAGTAAAGAAATGGGAACCAATTAATAATTTTTGTGACAGGCTGCTTGTAATAAAGCGCCTATTGTTATGTGGAGACACACCACTGACTTTTTGTCCTTGTTAAGTAGCTAAACAAATAAACAAAAAAACATTCCTTTAGGTAAAGGTCGGGATTGAAAACAAGCAAAAAAAAAAAGCAGCCAGTGTCCAACAGAAAAATCTGAAAGACCTTCAAAAAGTCTGGAAAACTATCGCTCAAGACCACTTTTGAAACATTACAACAAGTCTGGCTGACAGTATAAACAAATGAGAGGTGGCTCAAAGATTAGCGCTAAGCATCAAGCTTTGTAAAAACACATACTGGGGGCAAGTTTGGACTGTATTAAACCTAATCACGATGCTTTTTCATATAGTGTCCTGCTAGCATCACAAAGAGTTAATAGAGGTTTTGCTAGCTTACAAAAAGTTATTTCTGTGCTTTCAGCTGCAATTCTTTGGTTTTCGTTAATTTTTCTCAATAGTTGCAATTTGGATATATGGACAAGGGAAAAACTAGGGCAACATCAAAATACAATGTTTTAGTAAGATGCTTGGTCTGCTGTGAAAAAATTCCAAAAGGTATTTCATCATTTGTCATTTTAATGTCTGTCTGACAAGTTGGTT